CTTCTCTTTACAGTCTACTCTACTCTCATTTCTTCTCTCTTACAGTCTACTCTCTCTCATTCTTCTCTCTTATAGTCTACTCTCTCCCATTATTCTCTCTTTCAGTCTACTCTCTCCTATTCTTCTCTTCTACAGTCTACTCTCTCTCATTCTTCTCTTCTACAGTCTACTCTCTCTCATTCTTCTCTCTTACAGTCTACTCTCTACCATTCTTCTCTCTTACAGTCTACTCTCTCCCATTCTTCTATCTTACAGTCTACTCTCTCCCATTCTGTTCTTTTTCAGTCCGCTCTCTCCCATTCTTTTCTCTTACAGTTCAGTCTATCCCATTCTTTTCTTTTACAGTCCGCTAACTCCTGTTCTTATCTCTTACAGTCCGCTCTCTAATAGCACTCTTTCTCTCTCTCTCTCTTTCTCTCTCTCTCTCTCTCTCTCTCTCATACAGCCCCCTTTCTCTATACACTCTCACAGCCAATTCTTTCTCACAACCGACTCTCTCTGACTTTCTCACAGCCCACTCTAAGCTAATTCTTTCTCACGCTCCACTCTAGCAGACTATGCTCTCTCACAGCCTACAATCTCCAATTAACTCACTTACTCACTCGCTTCCTCTCTCTCTCTCTCTCTCTCTCTCTCTCTCTTTTTCCAACGCTGTACGCCCTCTCTGTCTCTCAACCCGCTTTGTCAGCTTCCAATCTACTTTACTTTCTCTCGTTTACTTTGTCACTCTTTCTCTCTCAGTTTCACTTTCTTACATCCCACACACACACACAAACACACACACAAACACACACACAAACACACACAGACACAAACACTCACTCTCTCTCTCTCTTTCACTTTCTTACTCTTATTCTGTCTCTCTCATTCTTTCTTACAGCCCCCTCTCTCTCTCTCAGTCTCTCTCTTGCCCGTCTATCTAGCGTAGTTGGCTAAACCGGATTGCGCAGTGACCGGCTGACGAACTCCTTGTGGTCCCGGTTCACGCCTGGGGGTAGGCAGAAAAGCCACATTTCTCCCAGATTTACGGTATTTATCATGGAATCGGGACGTCAAGTTTCCGTTGGTGATGATCAGCTAATTGCCAGAGTCGGGACGTCAAGTTTCCGTTGGTTGTGATCGATGGTTTTTTTTAAACCGACTGTATACAAAGTCTGACAATTAAGCATTGAGACTAATTCCATAAAAATTAAAATAATCAACAGTGAAAGATCTAACCTGTATTTTATTCAAAGTAAGCCCCTTGTGCATTGATACAGCAAGTGGTACGATCTAACAAACACTGGAATGACCTCTGTAGTTCTTTTTTTGTGTGTGTCCATGGCCCTTATAGTCAATGTTACGACCCTTTGGATGTCATAAATGTAGTTAAAGAAGATTCTTGTAATCGTAACTTGAATTTTGGGAATAGAAAATATTCACAGGGAGACACATCTGGGAAATAGGCTGGAAGGCTGAGAACACTCATTTGTTTTTGGGGCTAACATTTCTTGTTTTGTTGATGTTTCGTGGGTACTTAACCCGCTAATGTTTTTGGTCATCAGACAACGAATATGGTACAAACCGGCAAGCAACTCTTGTCTTTCCAAAATCTTACATTAAAATGTTATAAATGGTCTCTCTATTAACACCAGATTCATCTGCCATCATCATCACGGTAAATCAATGATCTTAATCATTACGAACAGAAATTTGGCATCCATGTCTAGCTGCATTAGTAATCATTTCCACACCCTTTTTGAATCGTGAATAACACCTAACAATTTGTGCAAGAGATAAACAATTATCTCATAAACTTGGTCATCATCAGTTTCAAATGTTGCCACTGAGGCCGCTTTTCTAACTTGTTAAAAAGAATTTAATGTAAGCCTTTTTGATCCGTGTACGCTACGTAACAGCACACGCGGACTAGTATGTCTACCAGAAGGGCACGGCTAGTTGATTGTCTGCTCTATCGACACGACGATGAAAAAATTGCCAGGATCGTAGATAATTTGTTTGCCTCTGTTAAGAATGCCATACTTTGCTTCATCGATGGGCAAGTGCTGGTACATGTAAGTACGCCTAGACAAGTGCTGGTACATGTAAGTACACCTAGATAAGTGCTGATACATGTAAGTACACCTAGATAAGTGCTGGTACATGTAAGTACACCTAGATAAGTGCTGATACATGTAAGTACACCTAGATAAGTACTGGTACATGTAAGTACACATAGATAAATGCTTGTACATGTAAGTAAACCTAGATACGTGCTGGTACATGTAAGTACACCTAGATAAGTGCTGATACATGTACGTACATTTAGATAAGTGCTGGTACATGTAAGTACATTTAGATAAGTGCTGGTACATGTAAGTACACCTAGATAAGTGCTGATACATGTAAGTACACCTAGATAAGTACTGGTACATGTAAGTACACCTAGATAAGTGCTGATACATGTAAGTACACATAGATAAGTACTGATACATGTAAGTACACATAGATAAATGCTTGTACATGTAAGTAAACCTAGATACGTGCTGGTACATGTAAGTACACCTAGATAAGTGCTTTTACATGTAATTACACCTAAATAAGTACTGACACATGTAAGTACACCTATATAAGTGCTGATGCATGTAAGTACACATATATAAGTGCTGATACATGTAAGTACACCTAGATAAGTGCTGGTACATGTAAGTACACCTAGATAAGTGCTGATACATGTAAGTACACCTAGATAAGTGCTGATACATGTAAGTACACCTAGATAAGTACTGATACATGTAAGTACACCTAGATAAGTGCTGATACATGTAAGTACACCTAGATAAGTGCTGATACATGTAAGTACACCTAGATAAGTGCTGATACATGTAAGTACACCACGACAACAGTGGATAAATTCTCTTCTTTCCATACACGACAGTGATGGATACATTCTCTCATTTTCATAAACGACACTGGTGGATACATTCTGTCCTTTACATAAACGACAGTGATCGATATCTTCTCTATTTTCGAAACACGACAGTGATGGGTACATTCTCTCCTTTCCATACACGACAGTGATGGATACATTCTCTCCTTTCCATACACGACAGTGATGGATACATTCTCTCCTTTCCATACACGACAATGGTGGATACATTCTCTCCTTTCCATACACGACAGTGATTGATACCTTCTCTTTTTCCGAAACACTACAGTTATGGATACATTCTTCCCTTTCCATGCAGAAGACAGTCATAGCAAAACTCTCCCCTTTCCAACACAAAAACAGTTACCCCCCCCCCCCCCTGCCTCCCCTAGACGGCAAGATAATGATGGAAACAATCTCTCGTTCAACCACACAAGATAATGACAGAGACAATCTCGAATTTCCCCCATGCAAGACAATGACGGAGACAATCTCTCATCCCCCCCCCCCCCCATATAAGATAATGACTGAGACAATCTCTAATTCCGCCCATATAAGACAATGACGGAGACAATCTCTCATTCCCCCCATATAAGATAATGACTGAGACAATCTCTAATTCCGTCCATATAAGACAATGACTGAGACAATCTCTCATACCCTCCCATATAAGATAATGACTGAGACAATCTCTAATTCCGTCCATATAAGACAATGACTGAGACAATCTCTGATTCCCCCCATACAAGACAATGACGGAGACAATCTCTCATACTCTCCCATACAAGACAATGACGGAGACAATCTCTTATACCCTCCCATACAAGACAATGACGGAGACAATCTCTCATACCCTCCCATATAAGACAATGACTGACACAATCTCTCATACCACCCATACAAGACAATGACGGAGACAATCTCTCATACCACCCATACAAGACAATGACTGACACAATCTCTCATACCCCCCATACAAGACAATGACTGACACAATCTGTCATACCCCCCATACAAGACAATGGCGGAGACAATTCTCGCCATCCCCCCCCCCCATACAAGACCCCATGACAATGACGGAGACAATCTCTCATACCACCCCCCTCCCCCCCCCATATAAGACAATGACGGAGACAATCTCTCATACCACCCTTCCCCCCCCCCCCCCCCCATATATAGACAATGACGGAGACAATCTCTCATACCACCCCCCCCATACAAGACAATGACGGAGACAATCTCTCATACCACCCCCCTCCCCATCCCCCCCCCCCCCCCCCCCCCCCCCCCAATAAGACAATGACGGAGACAATCTCTCATACCACCCCCGTCCCCCCCATATAAGACAATGACGGAGACAATCTCTCATACCACCCCCTCCCCCCCCCCCCCCATATAAGACAATGACGGAGACAATCTCTCATACCACCCATTCCTCCCCCCCCCCATACAAGACAATGACGGAGACAATCTCTCATACCCTCCCCCCTCCCCCCCCATACAAAACAATGACGGAGACAATCTCTCATACCACCCCTCCCCCCCCCCCCCATACAAGACAATGACGGAGACAATCTCTCATACCCCCCCCCCCCCCCCCCCCCCCCCATACAAGACAATGACGGAGACAATCTCTCATACCACCCCTTCCCCCCCCCCCCATACAAGACAATGACGGAGGACAATCTCTCATACCCCCCCCTTCACCCCATACAAGACAATGACGGAGACAATCTCGCATAACCACCCCCTCCCCCCCCCCCCCCCCCCCCCCCCCCCACCCCCCCCCCAATGACGGAGCCAATCTCTCATAGCATACAAGACAATGACGGAGACAATCTCTAATTCCGCCCATACAAGACAATGACGGAGACAATCTCTAATTCCGTCCATATAAGACAATGACGGAGACAATCTCTAATTCCGCCCATATAAGACAATGACGGAGACAATCTCTAATTCCGCCCATATAAGACAGTGGCGGAGACAATCTCGCAACACAAGACAGTCATGGAAACAATTTCTTCTCAACACAAGACATGGAAACGATTTCTTCTCAACACAAGACATGGAAACAATTTCTTCTCAACACAAGACAGTCATGGAAACAATTTCTTTTCAACACAAGACAGTCCTGGAAACAATTTCTTCTCAACACAAGACAGTCATGGAAACAATTTCGTCTCAACACAAGACAGTCATGGAAACAATTTTTTCTCATGCGGACAAGATAATGATGTAACCTGTCTCCCCATCTCCACACAAGACAATTATGGAAACAATTCCCCACACATAACTAATGAAAGCAATCTCCCGTCTCCTCCCTGCCCACAGAAGTTCCACCAGGTGAGAATCAAGATCCTAGGAGACTGCTACTACTGTGTTTGTGGAGCCCTGGAGGCCCGACCTGACCACGCCGTCCTGACTGTACACATGGGGCTCAGCATGGTGGAGGCTATCAGGTGGGTACCACACTTTAACACATCTGTCTCAACATGGTGGAGGCTATTAGGTGGCTACCACACCTTAACACACCTGTCTCATCATGGTGGAGGCTATCAGGTGGGTACCACACCTTAACACACCTGTCTCAACATGCTAGAGGCTATCAGGTGGGTACCACACCTTAACACACCTGTCTCAACATGGTGGAGGCTATTAGGTGGTTACCACACCTTAAACACCTGTCTCATCATGGTGGAGGCTATCAGGTGGGTACCACACCTTAACACACCTGTCTCAACATGGTAGAGGCTATCAGGTGGGTACCACACCTTAACACACCTGTCTCAACATGGTGGAGGCTATCAGGTGGGTATTACACATTAGCACACCTGTCTCAACATGGTGGAGGCTATCAGGTGGGTACCACACCATAACACACCTGTCTCAACATGGTGGAGGCTATTAGGTAGGTACCACACCTTAACACACCTGTCTCAACATGGTGGAGGCTATTAGGTAGGTACCACACCTTAACACACCTGTCTCAACATGGTGGAGGCTATCAGGTGGGTACCACACCATAACACACCTGTCTCAACATGGTGGAGGCTATTAGGTATGTACCAAACCTTAACACACCTGTCTCAACATGGTGGAGGCTATTAGGTGGGTACCACACCTTAACACACCTGTCTCAACATGGTGGAGGCTATCAGGTGGGTAAAACACCATAACACACATGTCTCAACATGGTGGAGGCTATTAGATAGGTACCACACCTTAACACACCTGTCTCAGCATGGTGGAGGCTATCAGGTGGGTACCACACCTTAACACACCTGTTTCAACATGGTGGAGGCTATTAGGTAGGTACCACACTTTCACACGTGGCAGTTTCACATGTACCTTTCTCTGCGTGTGTATGTGTGTGTGTGTGTGTGTGTACAGCAGTTTCACATGTACCTTTCTCTGCGTGTGTATGTGTGTGTGTGTGTGTGTGGGTGTGTGTGTACAGCAGTTTCACATGTACCTTTCTCTGCGTGTGTATGTGTGTGTGTGTGTGTGTGTGTGGGTGTGTGTGTGTGTACAGCAGTTTCACATGTACCTTTCTCTGCGTGTGTGTGTGTGTGTGTACAGCAGTTTCACATGTACCTTTCTCTGCGTGTGTATGTGTGTGTGTGTGTGTGTGTGTGTTTATGTGTGTCCCCCACTTTCATGTGTGTCCCCCACTTTCATGTGTGTCCCCCACTTTCATGTGTGTCCCCCACTTTCATGTGTGTCCCCCACTTTCATGTGTGTCTATCTCTGGGTTTGGTCAGCTGCTGTTTTGTGTGGATGTGATAAAAGTTTCAGTGACGTCAATAGAGTTTGTCCCGTTTGGGTTGATGTCACTGGGGTTTGTCGAGTTTGGGTGATGTAACTGGGATTTGTCTAGTTTAGGTGATGAAATTGAGGTTTGACGAGGTTGGATGACGTAACTGAAGTTTGTAAAGTTTGGGTTATGTAACTGGATTTGTCAAGTTTGGGTGACGTAACTGAAGTTTGTCAAGTTTGGGTGATGTAACTGAAGTTTGTCAAGTTTGGGTGATGTAACTGGGGTTTGTCAAGTTTGGGTGATGTAGCTGGGGTTTGTCAAGTTTGGGTGATGTCACTGGGGTTTGACGAGGTTGGATGACGTAACTGAAGTTTGTCAAGTTTAGGTGATGTAACTGAAGTTTGTCAAGTTTAGGTGATGTAACTGAAGTTTGTCATGTTTGGGTGACGTAACTGAAGTTTGTCATGTTTGGGTGACGTAACTGAAGTTTGTCAAGTTTAGGTGACGTAACTGAAGTTTGTCAAGTTTAGGTGATGTAACTGAAGTTTGTCATGTTTGGGTGATGTAACTGAAGTTTGTCAAGTTTAGGTGATGTAACTGAAGTTTGTCATGTTTGGGTGACGTAACTGAAGTTTGTCAAGTTTAGGTGATGTAACTGAAGTTTGTCAAGTTTAGGTGATGTAACTGAAGTTTGTCAAGTTTGGGTGATGTAACTGAAGTTTGTCAAGTTTAGGTGACGTAACTGAAGTTTGTCATGTTTGGGTGACGTAACTGAAGTTTGTCATGTTTGGGTGACGTAACTGAAGTTTGTCAAGTTTGGGTGATGTAACTGAAGTTTGTCAAGTTTGGGTGATGTAACTGAAGTTTGTCAAGTTTGGGTGACGTAACTGAAGTTTGTCAAGTTTAGGTGATGTAACTGAAGTTTGTCATGTTTGGGTGACGTAACTGAAGTTTGTCATGTTTGGGTGACGTAACTGAAGTTTGTCAAGTTTAGGTGATGTAACTGAAGTTTGTTATGTTTGGGTGATGTAATTGAAGTTTGTCAAGTTTAGGTGATGTAACTGAAGTTTGTCATGTTTGGGTGACGTAACTGAAGTTTGTCAAGTTTAGGTGATGTAACTGAAGTTTGTCAAGTTTAGGTGATGTAACTGAAGTTTGTCAAGTTTGGATGATGTAACTGAAGTTTGTCATGTTTGGGTGACGTAACTGAAGTTTGTCAAGTTTGGGTGATGTAACTGAAGTTTGTCATGTTTGGGTGACGTAACTGAAGTTTGTCAAGTTTAGGTGATGTAACTGAAGTTTGTCAAGTTTGGGTGATGTAACTGGGGTTTGTCATGTTTGGGTTATGTAACTGAAGTTTGTCAAGTTTGGGTGATGTAACTGGGGTTTGTCAAGTTTGGGTGATGTAACTGGGGTTTGTCATGTTTGGGTGATGTAACTGAAGTTTGTAAAGTTTGGGTTATGTAACTGAAGTTTGTCATGTTTGGGTGACGTAACTGAAGTTTGTCAAGTTTGGGTGATGTAACTGAAGTTTGTCATGTTTGGGTGACGTAACTGAAGTTTGTCAAGTTTAGGTGATGTAACTGAAGTTTGTCAAGTTTGGGTGATGTAACTGGGGTTTGTCAAGTTTGGGTGATGTAACTGAAGTTTGTCAAGTTTGGGTGATGTAACTGGGGTTTGTCAAGTTTGGGTGATGTAACTGGGGTTAGCCGAGTTTGGGTGATGTAACTGGGGTTTGTCAAGTTTGGGTGATGTAACTGGGGTTTGTCAAGTTTGGGTGATGTAACTGGGGTTAGCCGAGTTTGGGTGATGTAACTGAAGTTTGTCAAGTTTGGGTGATGTAACTGAAGTTTGTCAAGTTTGGGTGATGTAACTGAAGTTTGTCAAGTTTGGGTGATGTAACTGAAGTTTGTCAAGTTTGGGTGATGTAACTGAAGTTTGTCAAGTTTGGGTGATGTAACTGAAGTTTGTCAAGTTTGGGTGATGTAACTGAAGTTTGTCAAGTTTGGGTGATGTAACTGAAGTTTGTCAAGTTTGGGTGATGTAACTGAAGTTTGTCAAGTTTGGGTGATGTAACTGAAGTTTGTCAAGTTTGGGTGATGTAACTGAAGTTTGTCAAGTTTGGGTGATGTAACTGAAGTTTGTCATGTTTGGGTGATGTAACTGAAGTTTGTCAAGTTTAGGTGATGTAACTGAAGTTTGTCATGTTTGGGTGATGTAACTGAAGTTTGTCATGTTTGGGTGATGTAGCTGGGGTTTGTCAAGTTTGGGTGATGTAACTGAAGTTTGTCATGTTTGGGTGATGTAGCTGGGGTTTGTCAAGTTTGGGTGATGTAACTGAAGTTTGTCATGTTTGGGTGATGTAACTGAAGTTTGTCATGTTTGGGTGATGTAACTGAAGTTTGTCATGTTTGGGTGATGTAACTGAAGTTTGTCATGTTTGGGTGATGTAACTGAAGTTTGTCATGTTTGGGTGATGTAACTGAAGTTTGTCATGTTTGGGTGATGTAACTGAAGTTTGTCATGTTTGGGTGATGTAACTGAAGTTTGTCAAGTTTAGGTGATGTAACTGAAGTTTGTCATGTTTGGGTGATGTAACTGGGGTTAGCCGAGTTTGGGTGATGTAACTGGGGTTAGCCGAGTTTGGGTGATGTAGCTGGGGTTTGTCAAGTTTGGGTGATGTAACTGGGGTTTGACGAGGTTAGATGACGTAACTGAAGTTTGTCAAGTTTAGGTGATGTAACTGAAGTTTGTCAAGTTTGGGTGATGTAACTGAAGTTTGTCAAGTTTGGGTGATGTAACTGAAGTTTGTCATGTTTGGGTGATGTAACTGGGGTTAGCCGAGTTTGGGTGATGTAACTGGGGTTAGCCGAGTTTGGGTGATGTAACTGGGGTTAGCCGAGTTTGGGTGATGTAACTGGGGTTAGCCGAGTTTGGGTGATGTAACTGGGATTTGTCTAGTTTAGGTGATGAAACTGGGGTTTTACGAGGTTGGATGACGTAAATGAAGTTTGTCAAGTTTGGCTGATGAAACTGGGGTTTGTCGAGTTTGGGTGATGAAAAAAAAGGCTGCAGATGTTTGTAATGTTTGGGTGGATTATGGTACGTCTGTGTGACGTGCGATTACCTTAATGATGTGTGATTATCTGAATGACTGTGTGATAAATAAATAATGGGGAATTGTATCATGTGTTTTCGAGATGTAATAAGGATGAATAATAAATGTTTGAGTTGGATAAGGTTAGTTGCGTATCCTTTGCAGGACGTTGCAGAACCAACCCCGGCAGCCCCTGGCTGTTGTTTGGTTTCTCAAGGCCAATTTCCGTCCAGTAGTTTGCCATTGCTTCTAGACGGTCGGCCCACGGATACCACTGTCGAAACCAACGCAAGGCGCATGGCCAGCAGCTGGGATCGAACCCGGCACCCCGGCATTATGAAGCGTTTGCATCGACTTAGCCCCAGAGCCGACTTTTGATTTGGATATTTGTATTTAAACTCACATCACCTTGTTAGTGTGCGTGTGTGCGCGCGCGCGAATATGCGTGTGTGTGTTTTTTATGTGAACCCAGAGTGAGTTGTCTCACGTGGTCAGTGTAAGTTTTACTGCTCTATATGGACCAATCCCCTGATTGACTGACCCCTGTCTTGTGGCAGTTCCGTGCGCCACTCTACAGGCAAGGACGTCAACATGCGAGTGGGCGTGCACACGGGAGCCTGCCTGGGCGGGGTTCTAGGCCAGAGACAATGGCAGTTTGATGTCCTCGGCAAGGAAGTGACGCTAGCAAACAAGATGGAGAGCGGGGGACTTCCGGCGTGAGTCTAACTGTCTACACACCATCCATTCGTTAGCCTTTTACTCTGTCAGCCTGTCTGTCACTTTGTCGATGATAGATCTTTCTGCCTGTAGATATACTGCATGTACACTCACATAATTACCCACTGATTTGGCGTCCCCCCCCCCCCCCTCCAACCCAACCTCACTGACTTGTGTATTATTATAGACCATCGGCACTAGGTGGGTAATGTGGTCTGCATAACGCCGGCTGTCTTTACTTCCCCAGGACAGCCATCCTGGTACCCATTTTAACCTGGGTCTACCTGCGACGCACCATACTATGATAACAATCCACACAGCCAGAGTGGGTTTCGATCGCTGTACGTTGGAATTCGAGTCAGACTAGCAACGCCTAAGTCTTTACCCTCTCACTTGTATGTAAGATCCGCCAAAAAACATATTCAGTTTCAACCCTCAGACTTGTATGTTCCACCAAATGATTTGTATATTCTACCCATTGTCTTGAATGTTCTATCCACTGACTTGTACTTTCTACCCACAGACATATGCATGTTCTACCCACTGATTTGTATCACAGATAGTTGCATGTAGTACCCACAGACAGCCGTATGTTGTACCCATAAACAGTTGTATGTTGTACCCCCAGACATATGCATGTTCTACCCACTGATTTGTATCACAGACAGTTGTATGTTGTACCCACAGACAGTTGTATGTTGTACCCACAGACAGTTGTATGTTGTACCCACAGACAGTTGTATCTTGTACCCACAGACATATGCATGTTCTACCCACTGATTTGTATCACAGACAGTTGTATGTTGTACCCACAGACAGTTGTATGTTGTACCCACAGACAGTTGTATGTTGTACCCACAGACAGTTGTATGTTGTACCCACAGACAGTTGTATGTTGTACCCACAGACGAGTGCACCTGTCTCAAGCGACCGCCGACTGCCTGCAGGGAGAGTTTGAGCTGGAGGACGGACACGGAGCTGAGCGCGAGGAGGAGCTGAGACTGAAGAACGTCATCACTTACCTGGTCAAGGCCGTGCTCAAGCCTGTAGGTATTCCACTGGGCTCATGGCGGGGCACTACGTGGTTCAGGGATAGAGGTGCCGTTGTCACAGGCATTAGGGAGGGGTTCCAGGCCTGTCTCGTGACTGCCTTTAGAGATAAGGACAAAATGTACTCTCGTCTGTGCCGACCCATACCTTCATACTTAGATAAACACATATGCCCAGACACATACATAAACACACACATAGACAAACACATACATATGCCCAGACACATACATAAACACACACCAGACACATACATAAAACACACACATAGGCACACAACACTGCGAGTCCGACTCGTAATCCAACGTACATAAACTCGGGCCTGCGACATTTTTATCACATGGGACACAGACACACAGACATAGACAGGATGGGCTACATATACTCAAACACATACACACACATAGACAAACACATATATATACTCAGACAACCATATACACGTATACTTAGATAAACACAGATACTCTGACAGACACACATATACTCAAACACACACACATATACTCAGACAAACACATTCCTAAACTCAGACAACCACAAAAATATATACTGTGACAAACGCATAAATATATACTTAGACAAACAACTAAACTCAGACAGAGACATATACTCAGACCTTCACAGACACATACTCAGACACTTACAGACATATACTCAGACATTCACAGACACATACTCAGACATTCACAGACATATACTCAGACATTCACAGACATATACTCAGACATTCACAGACACATACTCAGACATTCACAGACACATACTCAGACATTCACAGACATATACTCAGACATTCACAAACACATACTCAGACATTCACAGACACATACTCAGACATTCACAGACACATACTCAGACATTCACAGACATATACTCAGACATTCACAGACATATACTCAGACATTCACAGACATATACTCAGACATTCACAGACATATACTCAGACATTCACAGACATATACTCAGACATTCACAGACATATACTCAGACATTCACAGACATATACTCAGACATTCACAGACATATACTCAGACATTCACAGACATATACTCAGACATTCACAGACATATACTCAGACATTCACAGACATATACTCAGACATTCACAGACATATACTCAGACATTCACAGACATATACTCAGACATTCACAGACATATACTCAGACATTCACAGACATAAACAGACTGTTGGATCATGGTCGTCGATGTGGACACTGTCTAGACCACCACTTACTTGCTGAAGTGACTAGGTCCCTTGCTGGCTGCCTTGTCTTCTCTAGACATTTCATAGACACCTATTCGGTTCCTGACTCGATCCTAGGGCGGTAAGGCTGGAGGGAACAGCTGAGTCAACCCAGGACTGTACTTGTGGTTTGGAGGAGTTGGAGAGATAGAATATTGCTGATAATGGTGGAGTTGGGGGAGTTGGAGAGCCACAATATTGCTGACAATGGTGGAGTTGGGGGAGTTGGAGAGCCACAATATTGCTGACAATGGTGGAGGTGGGGGTTGGGGGGTAGTTGGACAATAATATGCTGACAATGGTGGAGGTGGGGGAGTTGGAGACATATAATATTGCTGAAAATGGTGGAGGTGGGAAGTTGGAGACATAGAATATTGCTGACAATGATGGAGGTGGGGAGTTGGAGAGCCAGAATATTGCTGACAATGGTGGAGTTGGGGGAGTTGGAGAGCCAGAATATTGCTGACAATGGTGGAGGTGGGGGAGTTGGAGAGCCAGAATATTGCTGACAATGGTGGAGGTGGGGAGTTGGAGAGCCAGAATATTGCTGACAATGGTGGAGGTGGGGAGTTGGAGAGCCAAAATATTGCTGACAATGGTGGAGGTGGGGGAGTTGGAGACATAGAATATTGCTGACAATGGTGGAGTTGGGGGAGTTGGAGAGAGAGAATATTGCTGACAATGGTGGAGGTGGGGGAGTTGGAGAGCCAGAATATTGCTGACAATGGTGGAGGTGGGGAGTTGGAGAGAGAGAATATTGCTGACAATGGTGGAGGTGGGGGAGTTGGAGACATAGAATATTGCTGACAATGGTGGAGGTGGGGAGTTGGAGAGCCAGAATATTGCTGACAATGGTGGAGGTGGGGGAGTTGGAGACATAGAATATTGCTGACAATGGTGGAGGTGGGGGAGTTGGAGACATAGAATATTGCTGACAATGGTGGAGTTGGGGGAGTTGGAGAGAGAGAATATTGCTGACAATGGTGGAGGTGGGGAGTTGGAGAGACAGAATATTGCTGATAATGGTGGAGGTGGGGGAGTTGGAGAGAGAGAATATTGCTGATAATGGTGGGGGTGGGGGAGTTGGAGACATATAATATTGCTGACAATGATGGAGTTGGGGGAGTTGGAGAGAGAGAATATTGCTGATAATGGTGGAGGTGGGGAGTTGGAGAGACAGAATATTGCTGAAAATGGTGGAGGTGGGGGAGTTGGAGAGAGAGAATATTGCTGACAATGGTGGAGGTGGGGAGTTGGAGAGAGAGAATATTGCTGACAATGGTGGAGGTGGGGAGTTGGAGAGAGAGAATATTGCTGATAATGGTGGAGGTGGGGAGTTGGAGAGAGAGAATATTGCTGACAATGGTGGAGGTGGGGAGTTGGAGAGCCAGAATATTGCTGACAATGGTGGAGTTGGGGAGTTGGAGAGCCAAAATATTGCTGACAATGGTGGAGGTGGGGGGGTTGAAGACATAGAATATTGCTGACAATGGTGGAAGTGGGGGAGTTGGAGAGAGAGAATATTGCTGATAATGGTGGAGGTGGGGAGTTGGAGAGACAGAATATTGCTGACAATGGTGGAGGTGGGGGAGTTGGAGACATAGAATATTGCTGACAATGATGGAGTTGGGGGAGTTGGAGAGAGAGAATATTGCTGATAATTGTGGAGGTGGGGAGTTGGAGACATAGAATATTGCTGACAATGATGGAGTTGGGGGAGTTGGAGAGAGAGAATATTGCTGATAATGGTGGAGGTGGGGAGTTGGAAAGACAGAATATTGCTGATAATGGTGGAGGTGGGGGAGTTGGAGAGAGAGAATATTGCTGACAATGGTGGAGGTGAGGGAGTTGGAGAGAGATAATATTGCTGACAATGGTGGAAGTGGGGGAGTTGGTGAGATAGAATATTGCTGATAATGGTGGAGGTGGGGAGTTGGAGAGACAGAATATTGCTGATAATGGTGGAGGTGGGGAAGTTGGAGACAGAATATTGCTGACAATGATGGAGTTGGGGGAGTTGGAGAGAGAGAATATTGCTGATAATGGTGGAGGTGGGGGAGTTGGAGAGACAGAATATTGCTGATAATGGTGGAGGTGGGGGAGTTGGAGAGAGAGAATATTGCTGACAATGGTGGAGGTGGGGGAGTTGGAGAGAGAGAATATTGCTGACAATGGTGGAGGTGAGGGAGTTGGAGAGAGAATATTGCTGACAATGGTGGAGGTGGGGAGTTGGAGAGAGAGAATATTGCTGACAATGGTGGAGGTGGGGAGTTGGAGAGAGAGAATATTGCTGACAATGGTGGAGGTGGGGAGTTGGAGAGAGAGAATATTGCTGACAATGGTGGAGGTGGGGAGTTGGAGAGAGAGAATATTGCTGACAATGGTGGAGGTGGGGAGTTGGAGAGAGAGAATATTGCTGACAATGGTGGAGGTGGAATGTGTACCACTCTGAATGTCATCGATGGCACTAATTACTGCACCACATGGACCCATAAAATAACCAATTAAGTATGTGAGATTTCTGTGTTGATATGTTAGTCTGTACGTCAGTTTAGGGGAGGGAGAATTAAGTATGTGAGATTTTTGTGTTGGTGTGTTAGTCTGTACGTCAGACTGAGTGCCTGCTGATGGCTCTGGCGATCTGTTTGGTAGTATGTCTGCAAGTCTGTCTGTGTGTTGGTGTGTCTAACTCTCCGTGAGTTA